CGGCCCGCGCCGTCGCCGGCAGCAGCAGCAGCAGCAGCAGCAGTCGCCACAGCAGCTGCTTCAGGACTCTTACATGCAGCAGGTAATTCTTTGGTTACTTTGGATATTTGTGATGTCGTGAAATGTATGTTTGGCCGTCTGTCTTGTTTCCTGGCGTACAACTCCTAAAATCCTTGGGATCTCCAAGAATGATGTCTTTGTTGTGTGCTAATTAGTTCACTCATAGCAAACCATCTCTAGGTAGCTTCAAGATGGGGGCTGGTCACTGCAAAGACCAAGGCAGGCGTAGAGGGTTAGGACTGTTAGCCCAACCCTCCATCCTCCTGGAAGGGGAGAGGGAATGATGATGAAGTAAATCACCAGTGGCCAGTGATTTAATCATTCATGCGTGTGTGGTGAAGCCCACCTAAAAACCCTGAAGGTCTTGGTTTGGAGAGCTGGATAGTTGGACAGAGGGGCATGGAGCTTCTGGACTTAATGGAGTGTGGCAGAAGGCGTGGAAGGTCCTCACTGTGTCCCACGTAATTTCTCTCTATATATATCTCATAATCAGTGTTCTTTGTAATATCCTTATAATAAACTGGTAGCCATGCCAGTTTATTTTCAGGAGGTTTTTTGGGCTGCTCTAGCTAATTAATTGAACCTGAGCAGGAGGAGGGGTTGTGAGAACCCTAGTTTATAACCATTTACTCATATGCACAGGTGAAACAACCTGGGGCTTGTGATTGGCATCTGGAGTAAAGAGGGCCCGTACTGGGGACCAAGCCCTCAACCTGTGGTATCTGGCACTATTTCTCGATAAAGAGTGTCAGAACCAAGTTTAATTATAGAACACCCAGCTTGTGTCCTCTGCAGAATTGATTGCTTAATACATGGGGGAAAACCCCACACATTTGTTGATAGGAGTCTTTGGTTTTGATTGTTGGTGACTGTATAAGAGAAACTGAGTTTGTTCCTTCCTTTCTTCACAGAATATGGAAGTAGTAGTGTGAAATTCATGTAGCATTTGAATATTAGTGAATTCCCTTCATATCATGGGCATCTTGAACTCTAGGTTGAAGTAAACAATTTCCTGATTCTTAAATGATATGTGTTTAATTTGCATTGGGTGAAATACTTAAGAATGCTTTGTTAAAATAGATTGTATCATAGTCTTAACCAAGAATATAAATCTAGTCACTTGGTGTTCATGAATGAGCAATACTGTTTACCATGAATGTTATCTATTTGCATTTTGAATTAGAAACTTGATATTATTTCTGGAAGGAGGGTAAAGTAACTTTGTCTTAGATTTGTATTTTTTTATTATTTTTGCCTACATGAGACCAAGGCAGCATTTATAGTTGCAAGGTAGAAAAAAAATGAACTTAGGTTTCATTCTATTCTTTCCTGCATCAGAATCTGCAAATTTCTAGTTATAGTCAACTATTTTAAATTTAAGTACTGTTACCGTCATTCTATCATTTCCTGAAACATTTTAAGCCAATCTTATGCATGAGACTCCTCATGGGTATCACCCTCTTCTTGGATTGATAGGCACAGAGTGGAGGAGAGTAAATAAGTGGTGTTATGGCATAACTGGGACACGCATTGAAAAAGAGGTAGATGAGGCCACAGATTATTGTAATGGGTCCTTGTCAGAAGTCACTTCAGGGGTCTTGAAACACTTGCAACAGGTGGTAAATGTGTGTAGGTTTGGCTTTTTTCCAAACCTAAACTGAACTGAAAATTGTTTTAGTTGTGAGCCAGCAGGTGGCGTGGTTGTTAAGGCTCTTGGATCCCACATGGCCAACCATGGTTTGAGTCCCAGACCCGATGGCTTGCTTTCTTATTTTCTCTCTCTCCATCTCTCTCTGGTCAAATTAAAATAAAAATAATAAAAAATAAAATAAATTCTTTAAAAAAAAAAAGAGAATGGTTTTAGTTGAATTTGTGTTATGTTTCCTTGATAGTTTTGGAACCAATTTAGATAAGCATATATAAATTATAGTCAGTTACAGACTATATTTATACTGGTGTTTGGACTACTGATTTCCCAAATCATAGTTATAGAGAGATCAGTACCTAAAAAAAAAAATGACAGTGGCACAAAAAAGCATGCGTAGTATTGATTAATTTGTTTTTCTCATTATAGTATCAGCATGTAATGCAGCAGCAACAGATACTTCAACAACAGTTTTTAATGAATGCAGTTTATCAGCCACAACCTTCTGCATCACAATATCCTACAATGGTGAGAAATACGATTTCTAGAGATGTCTCTCTTAGTATACATTATGGTGCTGAATGGTATCATTCAGAATTGACAATTCAAAATCAGTTCAAGTTAGTTAATTGACTTGTATTTTACCAGCCAGCCATACATTCTCAAGCAGCTCTAAATTGTGCTAAAGTATGACATCTGAATGTGGCACATTGTAAATTACCTGGTAACATCCTTCTCTTATCTCCTAGTACAGGGGAAAGATCTGTTACCCATTATGTTTTGTCACATGTCTCTTTCATTTAGCAAATACCTGTTGTGTAAGAAAATGAAACCCAGAGGGAAAGTATCTCTGCTTCAGAGAATAGTTTGATCTTTTTTACAGTAACCATACTAATGAATTTACACTACTTTCTGTCTTTTTGTTAAAATAGTTAAAGTCAGATATTTAGATCTGGCCAGGTGAGCCTAGCCTCACAACTTTTGAAATTGATTTATGCCCTGTATTTGTAGGTTCCTAGTAACAGGGCTGCTGCTTAAGATATAAATTGACTTTTTGGATTTCTAATTGTGTCACCAATGTGGAAGGGGAGAAACACAGTTAATAGATGTGATGCCGACAGTGTTTTTAGTGACCTGAGCATGGTTTTGTATATCATCTTACTTCAGATGCAGCACTATCAGCAAGCTTTCTTGCAGCAGCAGATGCTAGCTCAACATCAGCACTCCCAGCAGCAGTCGTCATCACCTGAGTATCTTACCTCCCCTCAAGAGTTCTCACCAGCCTTAGTTTCCTACACTTCAGCACTTCCAGCTCAAGTTGGAAGCATGATGGATTCCTCTTATGGTGCCAATAGGCAAGTATTTTTTCAGTGAATGGAAAGAAAATAATTGTGGAACTTGATGTGATTGCTGAATAGTCATTTAGTAGCTTTCAAGTTAATCTAGAGTCCCATCTTTCTGTAGACCTCTGTTTTTTTTTTTTTTGGGTGGGGGGGCGTTTGCTATAGAGCACATGCGCTTGCCAGAAAGACAGAGAGAGACAGAGAGAAAGCGAGAAATCACCCTCCAGGATGGCAACACTGCAGTACCTTCTCCTCCATTCTTCTTTTGGAATCTTGGGCACATATGCACATGTGCTCTGCGTAAGTTTAGGCCACCGAGTCCAGGACTCGAACTGTGGTCGACTACATGGGAGTTCAGTGACATAGCCATTGTGCTAACAGCTGGTCCCTAGAGCCTCTGTTTTTGTTCCTTCTGGTCCTCTTTGCCAATCTGTGTATTCCCGCCCTTTCATTCCCAGCTGACTCTCCTAATTACATTTGCAGATGAGGCTTAGCAACATCTAGCAACATTTAGGGCTAAGAAAATTATTTTGTATGTAAAGGCATTTTTTGTAGTTTAAAAAGAAACAAAACCCAAATAAATGAGCTATTCTAGTAGTTAAAACATCTTGTGGACAGTTAACGTTTTCTACTTATGTATTATTTTCAAGTAATTTGCCTATTTGTGCATAAATATGTAATTTGTTTTAATTTAAGCAGGTACAGTTTTTAAAAATACATCCTTCATTCTGTTTTAACCTTATATGATATAGCAAACTTATTTTTACCATAGCATAGTTGGAGAATAGTGAGTTTTGATTAGTCAGATACATTGATTAGGAGGGCTGTTTCTCATGGGTGATTCATGTTGAAAGTACTACAGTACATTAAAGAACTTTGATACAAACTTATATGTGATGTGATAAGTGATTGAGGACCTTAAGTAATTACAAATTGGTATGAATGCTTCCCAGTGTTTTTAAACATGTGGGAGGAAGTAGCTGCTACAATTTGTTACTGGGACATTGAAGAAGTTCTCATACAACACTATTTCAGGATTTAAACTTTACCTGGGAAATGGTGTTTTGCAAGCTTTGGCTAGGAGTTGGACCTAAGAAATAGCAACAGCAGAAGCATACTTGTACACCATGCAACTCAAAAGAGGGTTTAAGCATGCAGTGTGCTATATAACAGCTCCTAACCTCTGTGTGAGTGTGTGTGTGTGTGTGTGTGTGTGAGAGAGAGAGAGAGAGACAGACAGACAGACAGACGGGGTAAGAAAGGAGGGGGGGGGAAGTGAACTGATTTAATGAAGTCCTTTTCTAAAGCAAAAATTGGGGGATTTGAATTAGGACATGTTTGTCTAAGTGGAGATCAGAACAAATGATCAAAGCCTGGTTTAAAGTCCAGATCAGACTTTGCCAGACTTTTTGTTATTTGCCTACTCTACATTTTTGCTTTATCCACATAGAACTCTTTTCTTTAATAAATTAATAATATTATAAATAATACAGTTAAAATATAGTAATATGCATTTTAAAGCCACTGAAATATAAACCATAAAATGCAGGGAATAATCTAATAAATGTGCAAATGAAGACATATCTGAAAAGAAATCCTCCAATAATAATAATGAAATTTTTCTTAATAAATACAATATATTCTGCACAACATTACTTAGTTTAAGATATTGTTAAGGTTGTTGTATTAACTTGGTGATTTGTTTGTTTTTCATTTTGATGTTAATCAGCATTAAAATATCAATTAAATATAGTTGGAAAAGTGTAAAAGATAATTAAACTTTATTCTCTGACATGGCAGATATACTTCTATACTTCATATTCTAAATTAGCATCATCTTCTGGAAGCAAAGTTGTATCACTGATGAAAAGCGAATGAGAATTAGAATTCCTATTTGAGAGAATTATTCGTGTTCTATAGTACATGTACATTTAAACTTCTGATTAGTTGTAAAGAAAATTGAATATCCAGAGATTTGAGATGTGCACAGGCAAGCAATGTTCTGATACCTGTAACTCATATGAATTCCTATAGTGTTGCCTACTTTAATTTCATCTTTACTGATACTATTTATGAAATTACAGGTATGATATCTTAATTACTTTTTCCCAATATCTGTGTAATTCTTAAAATAAAAAAATTGGTTTATCACCGAAATCATATTGCATAGTGTGGATTGGGAGATACTGAGCTGAGTATCTGTGAAAGTGTTTGAGATTTGCTTTATTTCACTCATGTGAAATATATGTGTATGGAAGAATGGAGTAGGAAAGGGTTATCATTTGATGGGTAGAAATAATCATACACTCAGCCACCAGAAATTAGGAATAGAGAACTTCATATAGGACCATTATTCCAGCCACAGTTGTCTCAATACTATTTTATTAATATTATATCTGTTTAATACTGGATTATATGTTGATAATATCTTCTGTAACAATTTCAAAAGAGCTTCGTAAGCAAATACTCCCGTTTATAGGCACCAGCAGATGGTGTAATGGTGATGTTGCTGGACTCTCATGTAGTCGATCATGGTTCGAGTCGCAGACCCCAGTGGCTTAAACCTCACGCCGGGTGTGTGTGCTTGTGTGCCCAAGATCCCAAGAGGAGAATAGAGGAGAAGGGATTGTGGTGTGGCCATCCCCCGTTGGGGGTGATTTCTGGCTTTCTATCTCTCTCTCTCTCCCCGGTGAGCGCATGCACCCTGTTGCAAAAATCTCTCTCTCTCTCAAAAAAAAGCAAATGCTCTTGTTTATACTAAGTCAGTGAAAATGAGAATTATAGTTAAATGTTTGCCTCTAAGTATATGGGATGTTTGAGTAGAAGATAAGAAACCAAGTAGTTTCTTAAAGTAGAAAGAGGGCCAGCCAAGCGGTGTGATGGTTAAGGCAGATGGATCCCACACGGCTAACTGCACGGTTTGAGTCCTGGACTTGGCAGCTAGAAAAATACTCTGGGTACATGCCCAAAATCCTGAGAAAATGGAGGAGAAGGGATTGCAGCAAGGTCATCTCCCTTGGGGAGTGCTTTCCCACTTTCCTTCTTTCTCTCTCTCCTGGCAAGCACACATGCCCTAAAGAAAATTAAAAGAGAGAAACAAAACAGTCACTGTCTTGTTTAAAATGATTATTTCCTTTCTCACGAATCTGCTAAAATTTCTTTTCTCCCATTGTGTTACGTTATTGTTAATATTGACATTTAAGAGTATTACTATGTTATAGTCCAGTACTAGTGAAAATAAACACACTGTGTATACATTACCTTACTTATTTTTATATAATTGCTTTATTATATTAGTCATCTGTTGTTGCATAATAAATTACGCCCAAACTTAGTGGTTTAAAACAGCAAGCGTTCAGGGACCAGCAGTTACTGTAATGGCTATGTCTCTGGACTCCCATGTAGTCAACTGCAGTTTGAGTCCTGGACTTGGTGGCTTAAACTTATGCCGGGCGCATGTGCATGCATGCCCAATATCCCGAGAGGAGAATGGAGGAGAAGGGATTGCAGCGTGGGGGTGATTTCTCTCTTTCTGTCTTTCTGGCGAGTGCACACGCCCTATAGCAAAAAAAACTCTCCCCCCCAAAAAATAAATAAATAATAACAGCAAGCATTGGGGCCAGCCAGTTGTACGGTGGTTAAGGCATTTAACTCCCACATGGATGACTGCAGCTCAAGTCTCAGACCTGGCTGCTTCCTTTCTCTCTCTCTCCCTCTCTCTGGTGAGAACACCTGTCCTGTAGCAAATTAATAATGATAAATAAAATTACATAAATAATAATTCTTTAAAAAACAGCAAGGATTTTTTATTTTACATAGTTTATTTAGATCGGGAGTTTAGGAGCAGTGTAGCTGGCTTGTTATGTTTGGTATGACTGGGTATGAATCCTCTGAAGGCTTGCCAAGTATTGAAGGATCTGTTAACAAGATAGTTTGGGGAAGGAGGCCTCAGTTGCTTGCTAGGTAGATTTTTCCAAAAGGCTGTTTGAGTATTCTCTTTGGCAAGGCAAAGACTGTTTTCAATAAGGAATCATCGATTGTGTTTCTCTCAGAGCAAGTTATTTAATTGAGAACATGGAAGACTCTGAAACGTCCTTTAGTGACCTTTAGTCTCAGAAGTCACACACTGTTATTTCTGCTATATTCATTTGGTAAAATTGAGTCATTAAATCTAGCCTATATTCAAGGGCAGTAGAATTAGTTTTCACCTTTTGAAGGGAGGAGTGTCAAAGAACTTACAGGTATATTTTAATACCCATTTAAACTGTAGGTTAAGGTGACACCCTAATGAATAGTCTTCCAAGAAGAATCTATAAATTCATCTCAGGAAAGGAAAGGGGAGTGCTTTAGATACAAAATCAGAAAGTTCTGAAAGTGATCATTGACAGACAGGAGGGGAAAATTCTTCTTTTTTAGTTTTACTTTCCATTGACCTGCATTAAGAACTTAGAAAGACCCTTGAAAATAATTTTAGATTAGAGATAGGATTCTGTCACATGGAGGCAGACTTGGGCAAGTTGATGCCTCCCTAGAATGGGTTCTGAACTGAACTGTATTTTTTATTAAGTACCTACATTCTATTTACTAAACAAGTCTGTTTGTAGGCAAATTACTGTGTTTATTTTCCTTTATTATATTATAGCCTTCAATAAGTGTTTAAACAGTCTGTTCTTGACTCAAATATTCTGAGGGAGCTTGAAATGAAGGATTAAATTAATTTCTGCCTTCTCTTCTAAGACCATGTAGTGACAATGGTAGTGAACTCCCAAAGGGAGGGTGAATTTAAGAGGATTAACCAAAGAAATTGAGATACTGTTTGGAACATTGAGATTTTCCCATGACCAATGGTAGAGGATCTGGATCTGAATTATGAAACAAACTGGACAGTTTTGTTACATTGGCTCATTCCTGTGCTGTATTTCGAGGCTAGCTTCAGGGAGAGGGACCCAGAGACTCATCTTAAAACTCCTCCAGAAAGAGACCTATAAGGCGACTGCCAAAAAACCAGTGATCTCATGGTCCAGACTATAGATGCTTTAAACACTGTGAACAATTTCTTATATATAAAACCCGTCATTTAACTAGCTGATTCATAAGGCAGTCCTAGAAGTTCATCTTTTGTTGGTAGCTATATAGAGAGAATGCATTTGTCAAAAGGAAACATTATTTTAGTGTCCCGGCGTAACCAGGTCATACAATCACTACATTCCATAGTGATTTTGGAGTGCATACTATTTGAAATGTTAACTGATTTTTACTTAAGGCTTGTTCAACACTGATAGTGACAGCTAATATTAATTTAATGCTTATTTTTTTTTCACCAGACATTATTCTGTTTGCTTTACATGTATTGAATAAGTTAATCTTTTTAGTAACAATGATATTATTCCTTTTTTTTTTTTTTTTTTTTTTTTCAAATTGGGGAAACTTATGCATAGGGGGGTCTAATATTAATTTAATGCTTATTTTTTTTTCACCAGACATTATTCTGTTTGCTTTACATGTATTGAATAAGTTAATCTTTTTAGTAAAAAATATTTTTTTTTTTTTTTTTTTTTTTTTTTTTTTTTTTTTACAGATGAGGAAACTGATGCATAGAGAGGTTAAGGAATTTGCCCAAGGGAACACAGCTAGTGTACACAGCTTATATAGTTGATTACAGAGGTAGTGTTCCTTATGGAGGTGGTTCAGATCCCAAGTGTTCTTGTTTTTCCACCCTATGCTCTTCTCTGCCATCTTCACCATAATAAAGTGATCTGATTTCCCAAACATAAAGTATGAACTAGGGCTCTGTAAATTTTTCTTATTTCTAATTTTTTGTCTTCTTTTTTCTTCTCTCAATTATTACTATAGGTCAGTTGCTGGAAAAGAGGCAGTTGCAAATTTCACAAATCAGAAGAGTATCAGTAACCCACCTGACATGTCAGGGTGGAATCCTTTTGGAGAGGATAATTTTTCCAAGCTAACAGAAGAGGAATTATTGGACAAAGAATTTGACCTTCTAAGATCAAGTAAGGGACACTTGAAGGCTTATTTTGCATCACAGTAAAATAACAGCTCTATAATTATTCAGTAAAGCCAAAGACTGTTTTGAGGTGGTATATAGAAATTCTTTTTGTGCATTTGAGGGCAAAATTCAGGCCATTTTCTTTTACATATATTATTGAACTATGTTGTGTGCATTAGAAATCAATTGCTTGATAGTAGCTGTTAAACCCAGTACTGCTAATAGTATGCTGATATCCTGACACTTAAATACTGCATATCTATGAATGTTAAATATAGATCTTCAAAACATGGAAAATTAATGTTCAAATAAAAGGGAGACATTAGATCTTGCCTTACTAATTATTTTGCAGCTCTATTTTCTTGCACACTCAATAGAAAATTTTGTGGGCCTGAGATGCCCTTTGAAAATGCCTGAAAGAAAACATGGGCTACTACATTATGTTAATGTTTTGTAATGCCCTTTTTATGAGTGGTGACATAAAAGGGCTGCTTTGTTGTCCTGATATGGCAAATGTGAAATAAATTCTTTTCCATTTTAAATCAGATATCTCAATGTTTTTACTTGCAATCATTGCCTTTTCTTAAACTGCCTGATATACATGTCAAGTCCTGTGATCCATATTTTAGAAACTTTCTTTGTTTCAAAAGGGATTTGGGATGTTTTGAGAAGATTGCAAAATAAGAATAAATAGCTCACTTCTGGAATATATGAATTAAGTTTCAGGTTTCTGAGGCTTGTGTGCATATATGTGTGTGGGTGTGTGCATACATGTGTGTGTTTTCTCCTTTTGTATGTGAAAAGATCTTAATAATCCTTAGTTTATAGCTCCTAGTTTGTATTTTATTTTGATAATTGACTTTATGAGAACATTTAACAGATTAAATGTTTTGTTCCAAATGGGCATATATTTTATGTAAAATTTATAAATACCCTGAATTTATGTAAGAGTAGTTGTTTGGGATTTAAATTTGTATTTTGGCTACTGGTTATGTGGTTATAAAAATTAAGCTGATGATTAAATGCAGATAAAATACAGGTTAAAAAATTTGTTAACTTTGGTAAAACTAATCTTAAATCTCATTAAAAAAACTTTTTTAAAACCACAACTTTTTTGTTTGGCATTTTTCCTAGAATTTATGTTGAGGAGCCACAAAACCAAAGTTTAAAAAAGGAAATAAATTGTCTTTATTTTGGAGGGATAGCCAGAGGAAATATAGGGGCTAACCAATTATAATATTATGCTTAATCAGATTGTTTTTAAAAACAAGATGTGTCAATATTCTTGTGTTCTGACAAAGATTTTCTAAATCAGTAAAAAATGGTAAAAAATTTAAAAAGTTATAGAATGGCCAAATTATTTTTAAAATGTTTTTTTTTATTTTTTGAAAGAGACTTTTGCTCTAGGGCACTGTGTTCACTGGAGAGACAGACAGAGAGAGAAAGTGAGAAATCACCCCCCAGGGGTGATGGTCTTGCTGCAATTCCTTCTCCATTCTCCTCTCAGGATTTGGGGCATGTATGTACGCATACCCACAGTGAGTTTCAAGCTGCTGGGTCCAGGACTTGAACTGTAGTCAGCCACATGAGAGTCTACCACTTTAACCACTATGCCATCTACTGGCCCCAGGTAAATTACCAATATTATTTTGTAACTTATAAAAAAGTATTATTCTGGGCCAGCCAGTGGTGTGGTGGTTAAAGTGACTGGATCCCACGTGGCCAACTGCACTGTTTGAGTCCTTGGCTTGAAAGGACTCAGTTGGCTTGAAATACACATTAGCCATGTATGTGTGCGCATGCATGCCCAAAATCCAGAGAGGAGAATGGAAGAGAAAGGATGGCAGCATGGCCATCTCCCCAGGAGGTGATTACTCTCTCACTCTTTCTCTTGTCTCTCTCTAGTGAACACATGCGCCCTATAGCATACAAATTTTTTTTAAAAAAGTATTATTCTAAGCTCCCTAGAATTTCTCATGACACCCAAGTTTTAATTACTTGACATAGGCAAGAATGGTAGATGAATATGCATGCATATAAATATATATTGGGTTATCAAAAAAGTCATGATGCATTTTTGCATTAAAATATTAAAAATAAGCTATGACATTTCTGACAACTTAATAGCTTCATAAAAATAGGGTTTAGCATATAAAATTTTCACCAACTATTTACTTTTAAACTTCAAGGTCGGATAACGTATAATTTGTGCATGCGTTTGTGCACATATACTTATGCTAATGAGAGTTCAGACTTCATTGCAGTATTAATTATAGGAAGATACTAATCTAAATGAAAATGCAGGAAGAACTATGGGAAGGTCAGACTTTAAGCAACTTCAGCCATTTGGAAAACCACCTGCATGGTCCCTAAGCTATTGAAAGTACAGTCACAATACTGAGGCACTAATTCAGCACATCGTACCAGAAAACAGATTTCCAGTTCCAGACATTGGCATTTAACTAGGTTGTAATCTCAGTGAAGTCACTGAACTGCTGTCACTCTCACTACCTCATTTATCAACTGGGGATATGAATACTTACCTCACAGGGTTATTAAAGACAATTAAATGACATAATGACTTTGAGTCTGGGTGCTCCATAAATATGTGTAACTTTCTCCTTTTTCATCTTCTGTTTAAGTCTTTAGGCTTTGGCTTAAGAGGTTTTTGACCTTTAGCTAATATTTAAAAAGTATATCTAGGGACCAGCAGTTGGCGTAATGGCTGTGTCACTGGACTCCCATGTAGTCGACTGCGGTTTGAGTCCCGGACCTGATGCCTTAAACTCACACCAGGCGCGTGTGCGTGCGTGCCCAAGATCCTGAGAGGAGAATGGAGAATGGATTGTGGTGTGGCCATTCCACCTGGGGGGTGATTTCTCACTTTCTGTCTCTCTGTCTCTCTGTCTCTGTCTTTCTGGCGAGTGCATGTGCCCTATAGCAAAAACCTCTCCAAAAAAAGAAAAAAAAAATATATATATATATAAAGTATTAGATCTCTTCGCTGGTAATAATCTTAAAATAGAATTAAAAGGTGCTTTGTGGATAAACACATCAACAGCAGAAGTAACAGTAAGGAAGGTGATGGAAAATTGTCCATTTTTTTCTCAAGAATTGATAGTCATTGTAATGCGGTGAATAAAAGGTGAAATGTTTTAAATAAAATTTACAAATAAATAAATAATGTATAGAATCTAGTTTAGAAAGATTTTCTCCTAGAATTTTACGTCACTGTAATAGTCATCTGTAGCACATCTTTCAGTCACAGGGAACATGGTATCTAACATTTGATTAATTTTATAGTATTTAAATTATATTGATGGAAAGTAGATCTCTTTCAGAACATTAAGAGTTTCAGTAGAAGGCAAATGGTGCAGTGAAAATTGATGGATGGTTATTAGTTGATGTTTCTGTTCCTAACATAATTTTCTAAAATGAATAAATTATTGATACATTTGAAATGCCAAATAGGATAATTTTTTTTTCTCAGCACAGGTGTTTATGAACAATTTGCTAAAGTTTTCTCTAAAGTAATTTTTATTATTAAATGTCTTCTAGTAAGAATCTGAAAACCTTTTTTGTGGTCCTGAAAAATGTAGACACTGTCCATCAATGATTGTTCAGAATAATAACATTTCCATTTGAGGTTTTATTTTTAAAATGATACATGGTTATTTGTATACAGCGAAGGGGAAATGGGTATGTTATCTAAGAAATGTTTCACATGTGTGTAATATTACCCAGAAGGGACTTTTAAAATCATAATAGTATTTTGAGATAGTAATGTTCTAAAATATTAGTGATTGCTAATTTTTGTGCTCTTTAAAGAAAATAGTGGTTCTGGGACCAGCAGTTAGCATAATGGCTATGTCGCTGGACTCCCACGTAGTCGATTGTGGCTCGGGTCCTGGACCTGGTGGCTTAAACTCAAGCCAGGCGCTTGTGCGTATGTGCCCAAGATCCCGAGAGGAGGATGGAGGAGAAGGGATTGTGGCGTGGCCATCCTCCCTGGGGGGTGATTTCTCATTTTCTATCTCTCTGTCTCTCTCTGTCTGTCTGGCAAGTGCATGCGCCTATAGCAAAAACATCTTAAAAAAAGAAAATAGTTTGTTTCATATACCAGGCAATGGACTTTAACAGATAAAGTAAGTTTTTCTTGCTTTTTTTTCAGGGTAAATGATTATTACTTATGATTCAGATTTTTTTAACCTACTCTTATTTAGAAGCAAAACATTAAATCATCATTCAGTATTTGTAATAAAGCCTGTTTCAGTGACTTTAAAAAAATGTTTTTTAATTTGTCAGAGGGCATGTGTGCTTACCACAGAGAGAGGGGGAGAAAACACTCCCTCTGTGGTCATGCCACAATCCCTTCTTTATTTTTCCGTCCTTTTGGGATTTGAGGCATGCATGCATATATGCCCAGTGGGTTTCTCAAGCTGTAAGGTCCTGGATTTCAACTGCCTGGTCAGTCATGGGATCCAGCTCCCTTAACCACCAGGCAACTGGCGAGCCTGAAAATTTTAATTTGTACTTTTCATAGCCTTTTGTACCAAAAATCTGTATTAGTATGTAAACTTTAGGAATCTAATTATCATAACATTTAATGCATTAAGTAGTAATTAAGATACAAGTGCCTGTTTGGAGAAATTTGTAAATTACATTTGTTCAAATAATTATATACTGCTACATGTTAATTAAAAGTAATACTTAACAAAGAGGTTTTTTTTTATTGATGATAAATTGTTTCTGTTTAAAATTATATCACAATGACTAAAAGGAAGACTAGAAGCTTCTAAAGATTGTTGTTGCTCTAGCAATTCTCCTAAATGTGTTCATTGTTTTAATCTGAATCCACAGAATGAAAGACATAAACATCTGAATCTATAATTATATTTTTTAATAAAACATTGATTCTCATCCTTTTTTTAAGCTGAGACCTACTGCTGTTCCTTTAGTACAGAATAATAGAACTTTTAAATTTATATTCACAGTTTCAGTATCTTACAAAGGCTGCACTTTTAAACCTTATTTATTAATCTTTTGGCCTTTCAGGAGATTAACCATATAAATAGCAGTGATAACTTTTTATAGTATTTTAATTTTTTGATGATATTATGGGGTATACTATGATTCTAGGATCTTAAAATCCTGTAATTTTGCCATTGGTATCAATTAACATTCTTGAAAAGATATTGTCTATTCCCCAACACAATTCTTTTGAGAAGTTAGGAAGAGGTAAGTTTCTTATATTACATAAATCAAGCTCAAGCTTTGTTCTAATCTAATGAAAACCAATGATTTGGAAAAGATACTTAACTATGTTTTAGGGGTGACTATTTGAAAAATAGCTCTTCATAACCTTTTTGTTGTTTTTATTTATAGATAATTGATAACTTTTAAAAAGGGATATGTGTATTTACTTTGTATTTTGTATCTTGAAACCCAGATTATCATGTGAACTTTAAAAAGCTAAATGATTTTTTAAAAAGTTTTCCAATCAGATCAGCAGGTGGCATGGAGAGTAAGGTGCTGGATCCTACATTGCAAATTGAGCAGTTTGAGTTTGGGACTGAGTGGCTTGAAAATCACGCCAGGCGTGTGTACGGGCATGCCCCAAACCTGAGGATGTTGGAGGAGAAGGGATTGTGAAGTGGCCATCCCCCTTGGGGGTTGATTTCTCACTTTTCCTTTCTTTTCTGGTGAATGCACACACTTTAGAGCAAAAACTAAAGTAAAATAATATCCATCGAAAAACTGATTCTATATTTTGTGGAACAGTAAGACTGACTGACTTCATTTTGAACTTACTCTGATTCCTATTTTGAAAAGATTGGGTAAATTTTGCATAGAACAGTGCCTCCCGTATTTTACTTATAGGGGTCTTCTAAATAAAACTTAGTTTACCCCTCCATGATAATGTTTTTACTTTTGTCATAATTGCATAGTGCTGTTCATATATTTACCATGAGTTTACCATCAATTGGTGGGGATAATACACCAGTTATAGCAGGATTCAAAGAAACTTAGTTAAACTATGAAGTTTCATAAGCTGGGAACCATTAATACAATAGTGGTTTTGATCTTGGAAACTATGTTAAAATGTAGATTCCCAAGTTCCTACTCAGAAAATCTAATGCATAAGGTCTGCGGGAGGACCCAGGTAACCATATACAGGAATCCTGTGTATAATGTAGATGGTTTAAGAAGAAAGTGTGTTCTTAATTCGTACCTAAGTACCAATAGTCTTTGTCTTGATTTTTAAGAATGAGGGCTCCTGGATCTGAAATCCTGTGGCTATCATCCTGAGAGACAGTCTCTCTCATTTGTTCTTCTTCACTTCTTCCTTTGTCTTTAATTGTTTCACTCTCCACAATCTGGTAGGTGGAAAAGGATAGAGTAGTCTATTACCAGATATAGTGTGTGTGAAAGAGGAGGGTCTGAAGAAGGACATTTGGGGGAGGGGCAGGGAGGCAAAGCATTACTGGCACAAAGAGGTGTTGTATTATCTGTTGAAGATATTTCTTAGTTTTATCAACAGTACTAGGGAAAAATGTTCACCTGTTGAACTATCCATTTTATAAGACAAATAATGTGATTGAATGTATGGAAGAAAATGAAATGAAAAAAAAAAATAAAAGGAAAATTTTTTTAAAAAAAAAGAAGGCAGGGAACCAGCAGTTAGCATAATGGCTATGTCGCTGGACTCCCACGTAGTTGACCGCAGTTTGCGTCCCAGACCCGGTGGCTTAAAACTCACGCCGGGCGCGTGTGCGTGCATGCCCAGGATCCCAAGAGGAGAATGGAGGAGAAGGGATTGCGGCGTGACCATCCCCCCTGGGGGGCGATTTCTCACTTTCTGTCTCAATGTCTCTCTCTGTCTGTCTGGCGAGCGCACGCGCCCTATAGCGAAAATCTCTCCAAAAAAAAAAAGAAGAAGGCATGGGACCAGCAGTTAGCGTAATGGCTATGTCGATGGACTGCCATGTAGTCGACCTCGGTTCGCGTTCCAGACCCGGTGACTTAAAACACGCTTGGCTCATGTGCGTGCGTGCCCAAGATCCCGAGA